CTGCTGAAGCTTTAAATTTGAGGTTTCTCATTTGTTAGAGCTTCTGCATAGGTGTGTAACTTCAGGAAATTGTGCTTGAAAGGGGAGGTAAGTAACTTGAGAGGTTGTGGGTGTGTTGGGTTTTTTTGGGGTGGTGGTGGTGTTTTGTTCTGGTGTTTGGTTTTAATTTTTTTTTTTAATATGCTCTTGAGATGGAAAGAAAAGGATAAAAAACGATGCCACTGTTTGCAGACCAGACTAATACAGGTGCCCAAAATGCCTTGATGTGAAAAGAGGATCTTGTGTCTTCTTCAAGTAGTCCCCTCTGCACATCAAAACGTACATATTCTGTCGGTTGTACTCTTTGAGTGCATGTTTCTTGTGTACTCTTTTATTTTGTCCAAAGCACAACAAAATTCACATCTGTCTTTTTAAACACAGGTTGGAAAGCATTATTGGGCTTTTGCCTCTTAGGACATGTTCTCTAGGGCTGCCCAAGTAATCGGCTTGAGCACCTGTGAGGGACAAGGAAGTTTGTCCTAAATGAAATATTTTAAGCTTCTGAGGAGAAAGTACCTCAAGTATGTTTTCTTATTTTTCTTAAGGAAAATACAGAGTTTAAAATAATTAGTTAAAACCTTTTGCTTTTGAAAAGGAACTCTTATGCAAGCATTTTCCATGTCTGTTCACAAGTGGATAATAAAAAAGTCTTGTTCTCCCCAAGGCATCAGATTAGTTTCAAGATTAGAGGATATTAACATGTGTCCCAGTGGGATGAGGTTGTTGATACTTTCTGGGTTAAAATACCAGCGTAAATGAAAATCTTCCTTACAGAAGACCAAAATTCACTTTATTTATAGAAGTTCTTGTACATGTACATCTTGGCTGGGTGATAAGACTTTCCTGGAAGATGAAGTAAGCGTCAATGGATCAGCATACAAACTGCAGTGATTTCTTTGGCACCCCTCACAAATTCTGTTGTTTGTGCTCGGGTGGAGAGGACCTGTCCCCTGCTGAAATGCTGTGCCGTGCTGGCTAGGAGATGGCTCTGGCTGGCCACTGCGAGTGCCTTCCAGGCAGCGTGTCCCTCTGCTCTGCTCCCGAGCAGGCCATGCAGCAGCTCTCCTCCTCACTGGCTGGTCTGCAAGCACATGGATGTTACACCACTGGTCCTTTTCCAGTTTGGTGACCCAGTCCAGCAGGAAGGAGCAGCTCTGGGCTGGAAGGGATGGTGTCATGGGGAAAAGCAATGGTAGAGGGCTAGAAGGAAAATAAACAACAGCCTTGTGGATAGCTAGAATTCTGAACTGGCACATTGACTCCCTTGGGTTGAGGAGACTGTTTCAGTGTGCTATTGCAGCATCCATAAATTCTTTGTGTGACCAATAACTTGTTTGTTGGAGGGAGTTGCACTTTTCATGTCACTGAGCTGGGCCCAGATCTGTAGGCTTAGGGCTGCTGTCTGGTTTTGGTTTGATTCATGGTCTGTCACTTGGGTTAACTTTGCTGCCTGCAGACTGAGTTGATCAAGTGCTCTTTTGGAGTGCAGTTAGAGAAACTTGGGCTTGTTTTGCTTTTTCTGACATACCAAATGTGTATGTTTCATTTAATGTGAGTGAAATGGACTCGCCAAAGCCCAGAAAACCTGCCCTGAAACTCCAATCCCAAACCATCAAGTTTCCTCACTAGAAGAGACCACAATATTCGCAGCAGTACCTGGAATGTTCTAGATATTCAGGAAGAATTAGATTATGCCTGCATAGCTCATAGTTTAAAGTTAGCAGAGGGAAGTGGAGCATTTTGAATCACTGGGATTCCATTAGGTGTTTGCACTGGCTTTTGTGAATAACATCAGAGTGTTTCTGTCCACAGCAGTAGGCTATAGGCAGCAGAAGAAAGGAGGGGAGATGGAAATGCACATCAAAGGAGATGGCCTGGTTGGTGGAAATATTCCCAATGCACACGTACTAAGAGTTAATGTTCCCTGTGCTCTGGAAAAATCGATCAGGGGAAGATGATCGAGCTCAGAGGTAGGACAATTGTACTGGTTTTCTTTTGCTTGTTTGGGTTTTAGATTTTTGTTTGCTTTTAAACTATCTTATTTTACACAAGAAGAGTTGCCATTATCTGAATAGCTGAAGGCTTTTAGGAAGTCCATGTGTGCCCATGTGAAACAGTAATCGCATGACGGACCCCGTGAGCGCAGCGCTGAGCTCTGTGCGGTCTTGTATCAAGTGTACAACTCCGTGTGGCCTCAGCTTTCACACTTCTTAATCACCCTCCTTTTCTTCATTAAACTTGATACAGTGTTTAACTTCTTAAGCTAGAACTTCAACAGTATTCTGCTAAACTGAGCTTCCAGTAAATGGTTGACTACTGTGTCAAATGTTTTCTTAAAATACATTATACTGCTGAGGTGAAATGGTCTGGCTTTACCTTTATTTAAGCAGCGCTTCTGATTAATTAATAATCTCTATGAATATGGTAATTGCAGTCCTATCGCCAGAGATTCATTTGCATTGGGGCTGAAGCTGAAAAGTTTTCTGCCAAGTGCATTTTGATCTTCAACAAAGTAAGTTGAGAATGTGCAGGTAGCATCCAGAATACACGGACCAGTCTGTCCTGCCACCGCCTTTATTACGGGGAACAGATTAATTTACTTGTGAGTGAGCAGATTCAGTGTTCAGGGATTTGGGATAGGACAGCAAGCTTGGTCACACGTCAGAAAAAGTCTGTAAGAAATCTCCCTATCTGCACTTCTGCTGTATGCTTCCTGTCCTTGATAGTTTTTCTTTGGTTTAATTCATATTTTGAATTCTTGGATCTCTTCTCTTGCAAACAGCATTTCGAGCATCCGTCTTGCTGCTCAGTGCCAGTTATTTCTCTGCACCATATGAAAGCACAGCTCTTCCTCTTTCTTATTTTACATTTGGGATGTTCATGTTGTTTTCAACAAAGCCTGCTAACTCATCACATTTTACATTTATTACTGCTATTTCTTGGGAGACTCTGTGGATTAATTTTGGCTACGCATTCTCTTATCAGTCATGCATAGTATATGCAACCTTAGAGAAGAAGTAACTTTATTGACGAGTTGGTCAGCGGTGCTGTGGCTTTGCTGTTCTGCACAACGGTCAACTGGGTGTAAGAATACTAAGAAAAAAAACCCAACAAACCCGTCAACATGACGTAATTGCCTTTTTCCTGTGTTCTCCTGTTTAAAGGAGCCATGGTCACGTCCTTGCCTGGCTTCAAGCCTGTCTGCAGGTACCAGTGGTATGAGCTGAAGTCCTCTGTAGCAGAAGCACAGATCTCTTTGGGGAGTTTGGTATCCGGTGGCTCTTCACCGCATCCTGAATTTAAGAAGCAGTGGCAGGTGTGGGGGGAAGTGATCTCTTATCTCTCTCTGTTCATTTTAATATAGGGCCATGACAATAACTTCTGGAGGGCCTTCTTTCTAGCAGTGGCGTCTGTACGTGTTGGGCGTCCCTTTTCACCCGTGTTTCTCCCAGTCTTTGAACTGATCCTTACTTCTCACCTTGCTTTGCTGCTGCTGGGATTCTTTTTGTCCTTGCTAGTGTGTGATGCCATTTATCTCATCTGAGGAATAGATTTCAGTTTAGATCATTGAGAGCTTTAATGCAATTAAATAACTCTGTTTCAGTATGAGAATGCAAATTAAGACGGGAAGGAAGATGTTGCATAATTATTAGTTTAAAAGCATCGTGAGGAAAAGAAGCTTTAAGGTTTACTGAAAGGAATTTGCTGCATCAGCTGACTGCTCAGATTCCATGGTGAAAACAAGAAGCAGGCAGCTATGCATGGCAAGGTAGGCTTTCCCAAGTGACATTTTACTTATTTACTGACACTTGCTGAATTCTTTAGAGACCACTGGAGAAGAGAATACTGTGTATTTCTTTCTTCAGTCATATTTCCTTTAATTACTTCTGCTATGACTTATTCTATGAACGTAAGAGTGAAAAATGCCTTTTTCCTTCCTAGTGATTCTAGAATCATGGAATGTGTGGGGTTGGAAGGGACCTTTAAAGATCACCTGGTCCAACCCCTGCAGCAGGCAGGGACAGTGTTAGTAGGTTGTTTTTTTTTTAGACATCAATCTTTTGTGAAATGGTGTTTTGCCTATGATGCTATAACTAGCTTTGCAATCTGGAGCTTAACGGATAAAACTATTTTCCGAGGGAAAGGAAACTGAGCTTGATAATGTATACATCTAGATACACACATATGTATGTGGAAAAAATACATAGCATGGTTAAACCAAAGATTTCTAATACAGTGTGTGGCCCTGCAATGGCTGTAGTAAAGTGAAGTACACAAGTTGCTACTTATTTTTATAAACCCTTTGGTCTTAAAGAGTTTTAGGAAATCAAGCTTTTTAAAGCTGTGTTTAAAAAAAAATTAAAAAAAATATTACAGCATGGAGAGTATGGTTCAGTTTTGTCCCTGATATCAAAATCTGATCTATTTACCTGCATGTTTGTCTTTATCCTGCAAAAGCCCTTGTTTCTGGGGGTGTCTGAGTGCCAGGAAACATTTCGCTGGTTTCACTGGTGCCTTCCCAGGCCACGGCTTCGCTCAGCGCCAGGAGCCGCGTCCTCCTCCCACCCCCGGCTGGGAGCTGCGCTCAGACCCAAAACACCAGAGTGGCTTTAGTGCTTCTGGAGCTTCACCACACTTCTTATTTGCTTGTACTCAAGCCCTGGAAGTTCTGTGTCACAACTGGGTTTCTGTGCCAGAAAATGGTTTGTGTGGGAAAGGGGCTGTGGTATAAAATTTGTCGTGAGGTTCCTACCTGTTTCATGCTGTCGCTGCACTCATAAATGTAAAAAAGTGCTAATTGAGGGCTTCTTACTTTTAAATAGCAACTCATTCTCTATGCTTACTGAAAGACAAAAAGACACTGGTGATATTTTCCTGGTCCCTTTTGAATAAAATTTGTATTTATTAATACTTATTGCTGAAGTGTTTCTTCAGAACAATTAGAATGAGAAGTTTGTTCTCAAAGGTTATCCTTTGTGTATTCAGAATAAATATAAGGCATTATCAAAAAGGAAAACCTTTTTCAACCCACTTCAACAATGAATTTTCATAAAAATAAACATGGAAAATAGGCATTTTTCAAATGTATCTTCACTCAAATGAATTTTGACTCATTATAAAGATTTCCATCGGAGAACTTGGAGAGAAATCAATTTGAGAGAGGCTCCTTATGCTGCCCTTACAAATACTAAACGTTTTCTCCACAGGGCTCATGCAAGGCAATGAACTGAATAAATTAAACCCAGCAAACATGTTCTGTGCTGGAAAAGAGAGATGTCTGAAAACATACTGGCTGTGATTGAATGTTCTACAGATAAGTCCTGCATTTATTTGGTGTATTTATGCACAAGGCATCTTATTTCAGCCACCTCTGGGAGCAGTTTTAAGTCTTGCCTACATTGCACTCGGCTGTGGTTTGTGTCGTCTGCATTAGCAAATTAGTCCCTTAAAACTACTCCCCGGGTGGATTTTAGGTTCATAATGCTAAAATTCACCACCAAAGCTGTACTGGTATGTGCAAGTTAAAGAGACATGGACCTGCTCTTCAAGCCAAAAGTCAGTGAAACCGGGTTTGGGTGTCCTTGGGGGCCTTGGCCACAAGAGCCTCGTGTTTCTTTAATCCTCATTTCCTGGTGCTCCCTCATTCTTGAACAAAATGCAGCTGGAAATTGAATTCAGGAATCTGACACTTTTTGGAGTAGCTGCAGGGAGCGAAGTGCGGCTCTTAGAGTGTTGCTGCGTAATTTGTTTGTTTGTGTCCTTTTGCTAAACCTCCTTGATCTCTCTGTGTCTTTCTGTGCAGGTTACAAAAGTACGATCTCTTGCAGCCCTTAGGATAGGAGCAAGGTAAAGATCAGCAGAAGACGTGGGCTCTGCCATTGCACTTGTGTCAATCTGGACAGTTTACAGCGCTTTAAATTAGGTGCTGCCTGGTCCATGAAGAGCTTTCTGGAAGGGCCAGGAAGTGCTGTTGCGACACTTCGTTAATGTTTGGCTCTCTCATGGTCTCTCTAAGTCTCTCCTTTATTGTCTTTTCCCAGGAGAAAATTAGCTTTTTGAAGTATTTAAGCTGTTGTTCTTCCCAGAAAAACAGGAAATAATACAAATATGTAAATCTTTAACATGTAATGGGACGTGTTAGAGTGAATGGTGATGCGACCCTTAAAAGTGCTTGGGAATCTTGTAGGCTTTGCCCACAAAATGACGCAGCATGAGAAGCCTGACTATACCCAGCCAGGGTCAAGGAAAACAAGAGTAGATACTTTCCAAGTTTTATTGGTTTTCTACACGATTTCTAATAGCTTTGAGGATACATGAGTAGCGTCAGATAATTTTCTAATGTAAACCTCCCGATTGAATATGTCTGTACATACCTTTCCAGTGTAAGCACCCCTTGCTGCTTGCCTTTTTGTACGCTATTAGGATGTGCATACTGTGTATACGTAACTGCGTTGAATTGTGCGCCCCGCACAGAAGCCTGAATAAATGGGTTTTCATGTTAATCCAAAGAATCACTATTCCTTTGGTGATCACTATTACTTATTGCTGGATCGCACCATTTTTTTCCATTTCTCTGAGAAGTTTAATTCGGTTTGTGGCACCAATCTAAGGTGGAGTTTCCAGGTAAATGTCCTGTGCTGTGATCAGAGAGCCATGGGAGGCTGGGTCTGCAAAGAAGGGATCTCTCTTGAAGGAAGAAGATGGGAGCTGGTAATTGAGGCAGCTGGTGATGGAGTAGATGGACACCTGAATGATTCTCGTGTTCAGCTTACATCCCCTGGGAATATACCAAACCCTGGAAACGTTTGCACTCCTCGTGGTGCCTTCCTGTGCCAGGGCCTCCTGCACTGGGAACTGCGTGGGTGGATCCACTGGAGCACTCGGATCTGAAGCAGATCACAAACAGGGTGGCAGGGAGGGCCGTGGGTCATAACCAGCTACTGCTGAAACCCCTGCAGAGCTGGGGCTGCGCAGAAGGAAACCTCCCCGCACCCCTGACGGGGGGGGGACCACCAGGTGAAGCAAGAGCCTGGCTTGGCCCTTGGAGGACAAGGTTTGGGTTCACGACTTGGCAGGGGACATAAAATCCAGAGCTGTGGCATTTCAGGGGCTGTTTTGCACATCAAGGCCAGCCCTGGTGCCTTGGGATGGGCTTGCTCAGTGCTCAGGTGGTTCTTTTGAAATTGTTTCTGCCTCCTCTCTCTCCCTGCATGACCCATGTAGGGGTTAGAGGTGATCCTGGTGCTCGGGGGAACCGAGACACAGCGGCCTCCATGGATTTTACCTCTAGCTACATTTTAAAGTGTCTCTGCAATAACTTGCAGCAGTCCTCTCCAGGGAAATCCTTACTGCAGGTTCCTTTGATGTGATGAAAGCTTTGGGCTCTCTCTCACTGGTGCTGGTAGCTTTGTTCAAAACAAAGCTGCTGTGATGTAGCTGTAAGAGAGCAGATTGACCTCACCCTAGGTGGGATGAGCAGGTTCACACCCGCTGGTGGTGTCAGCAGGAGCTGCTCTGGGAGGGGGTGACAGATCCCCACTGGCAGCTGCTGAGGCCCCAGCTCGGGGACATCGCAGCCTTGGCTGTAGCAGCCGCTTTGTATGAGCCTCCATGGCTGAAAATGGTCACTCTTCATGTGGGACGCCAGTGGGATGACTACAGGAGGCTTCTCAGTCACCTTGGGGGGTGTGTGTGTGTGTTTCAGGATTTTGTCCTGGTGAGAACGTTGTTGTTGTCAAAACAGCAGATCGGTGTTTACCTGTAGGCAAAGGTCTGTGTGTCGTACAGTTGTGAGAGAGCTGTACCATGAAAAATGCTGTCCCACATGGAAGGAAAGCATGAGTTCAATCCTGGCTGTGAATATCCACCATGAAAGAGTGGTGCCTGGTCTGTAAGGCAGAAAGCAACTTGATCACCACCTGAGGTGGTGTTTTCTGTCCTTGTTCCCATTGCCTCCACGCTGTTTCCACACTTGGTAGCTGCCTGGTGGCTTTGCTGGTCCTTGTGTAAGTCCCTCATGGGTCTCCCCTCCAACTCCACTTCTTGTGCTTGTGGCCGCGGCAGGGTCTGGATTTGGAAGCTGTGGCTGGCCAGGGCCAGGCAGGCACGCAGGGCTGAGGGCTTAGCAACCTCGCTGCCCTGACTGCGAAGGGCAATATCATAAACCTTACATACATTCTGGGGGTTTTTTCTCCTATTTTCTGTGATGGCACGACTGGAATTTTGCTGCTGCTTTGCTTTCCATAGCTGATGTGTACTGGCCAGTTTGTGAATGAAGGCCTGCACAGCTCCCTAGCCCTACACGCTCCTATGGCAGCGGGCTTAGCAACCTCGCTGCCCTGACTGCGAAGGGCAATATCATAAACCTTACATACATTCTGGGGGTTTTTTCTCCTATTTTCTGTGATGGCACGACTGGAATTTTGCTGCTGCTTTGCTTTCCATAGCTGATGTGTACTGGCCAGTTTGTGAATGAAGGCCTGCACAGCTCCCTAGCCCTACACGCTCCTATGGCAGCGCTTGTTGGCCCTCACTGGGTGGGGGGGGGGTGTCCCACTAAATTAGTTTTAAACGTGAGGTGTTTTAAATGTGTTAAAAGGGTGAGGTGAACAAGTTACGTTTCGTTAAAAGTTTGATCCATGTTTAGAATGGGGTAGCAGCCTCATTTCCTGGCAGCATGGGCACTAACCATTCCCATTTTATCAGGCTGGCATCTTCCTTTCTCTGAAATGATTCGATAGGCGCAGCCCATGCCCACCTCGAGCTTCAGCATTTATTAAATCCCTTCATTGCAGAAGGAGCCCAGGGAAACGAATTTCTTCTCATATAAAATACATCAATTAACAAACATAACATCGTTCTTCTCTGCAGTTCCTGGAGCATCTCCCGTTCCTCGGCCATGGGGACTGTGATGGGACCAGGACAGAGCCTCTGCTCCCCAGTGCTGGGGCAGGTTAGGGCTGGAGGTCGCTGGGGTCTGCACCCCCCCAAGCCCATTTAACTGGGGCCAAGCCCCAGCAGGCCAGGGGTTACAGCCCATGGCTCATCCCAGTCACCAGCAACTTCAAGGACAGCGAGAGCTGCTGCCCTGGGCTGTGCGGTGGGTGCAGTGGGGAGAGGTAGGAAAACACCGCCCCAGAACAGGACCTTTGCTGCTGAGCTCAGTTAATTTATTTATTACCCAAGGAAAAATTAAAAAAAAAGAACATTTTATTTCTGAAATTGGCAAAATATAAATTAAATCCAGGTTTGTGTGTGCCTGAAAGCTTTGTTCAGGTGGATGAAAACCAAATTCCTTCTCCCTGCCTCCCAAGCATCCCTGGCACGAACCCAATGCAATTTCCCCCTTTTCAGGTGCTTCCCGAGGGGTGGGGGGTTGGGTCACCACAGCCACTGCCACAGCTCCTGTTTTGGGGTGCAGTCGGGGATCTCTGTAAGGTGAACCCAGCCGATGTAAGGGACCTGCCTGGAACGTGCCCAGCGCCTGCTCCTCAGTGCCTGCTCTCCTCTTGCTCACGCTTCGCCCTCCTCATGTAAATCAATAGTGGTGTTTAATTTCCCCTGTACCCACCTGCTGCTCTGGGCAAGTTCAGCTGAGGGGGGCAGAGATGAAGAAGAAAAAAGCCCAACCCTTTCTTTGGAGGCCATTAAACAGTGACCCCAAGAACATCGGCACCCTCACCATGGCGTGCTCACTCCTATGTCCTGACTGTTGGGCATGCTGGGAGAGGGGCACCCCTGCACCTCAGCCCACCCCCTGGCCCTGCCCTGCAGGACCCCAGTGAGGATGGGTCTCTAGCTCTCCTTCTCAGCCTGGAGCTCTTCCCAAGCTCTCCCTGGAGAGGTCTGTAGGGTTGGAGGAGAGGCCTTGGGCAGTGGTGCAGCAGCCGTTCAAAGAGCCCAAACCAGGTTACACAGGCAGCAACAGCAGCTCTGACTTGAGCAAAACAAAAAAAAACCAAAACAAAAAGGCTGGATCTGGCATTCTTGAAGCAATCTCATAAAATTAAACCGAACCCATGTCAGCAAACAACCTATGAAGAAACCACCATGCCCAGGGACGTGTCAATCACGCTTGCAGCTTTGCAGCTTCTCTGAACGACCCAGTACACTGGTTTCCTCAAAAAAATGAGGAACAAACACAACCTTGGTAGTGGTTGTGCAGTCCCACTGAAGAGTTAGAGCTGGGAATACTGATATTTGAGGTGATCCATCAGTCAAGATCAGCCGCAGCACTGCTGCTGCCCTTCCCTCAGTGGCCAACTGCCGCTGATGAACGTCGCGTGGAACAGACTGCGTGGAGCTTTGCTGCTGCAGTGGGGTAAATGCAGCATCACAACCATCACCATAAGCGGTGAGTTCAGTAATTAAGCAATTTTTTAGGGCATTTGCAGCTGAACACTGGCTGAAGCTGCTCTCTGGGGGTGCTTGGCTCCCTCAGGGGAGAGAAGAGCAGGATGCTCACCCAGCATCCTGCACCAGGTACCGCCCTGCAGCTCAAGAGCTGCAACATCCCGTGGTCAAGGGTCAAACAGGAACCTGAGCAACAACCAGAGCAGTGGCAAGTATTTTTTAGAAAACAAACAGCTTCAGCATGCTAAACCACTACATAACAACAATAGAAGTCATTAACCTGTTCATGAGGTCTTGTACTGGGCTTACAGCCCAAGCTCAGGATGTGCTCCAGGCCCCGTCACCTCTCGCTCTTGGCAGGGACAAGGAGCTGATGGTTGTGGTCAGGGCTGTAGGTGTGAGCCCAGCCCTGCCTTCTGCTCCTCCGCTTTGGAGCAGCTCAGCTTCCACATCCCTCCCACCTGCAGTTCGCTTCTGCATCTGAAATGAGTGAAACGTAGTTTTCACTTCTCTTACCCTAAGTAAAGCCTTCAAGGGAACCACAACGTGCAGAACAAACCACCCATCTTCTCCTTAGCTCGTCTGCATGGGGGCTGCAGGTCAAGTAGAGCAAGACAGGGCCCCCAGATGTGTGAGTGGGGTCTTCAATGGTTCTGCTCAGCCTGCTAAACCCAGCTAAAGTAATTTGTACCTCTGAGGCCATAAAGCGAGTCCTTCCTTCACTGGTGCTTTGCCAGATGCAGCCTCTGCCCTCCATGATCGTGTTTTCTTGCCAGGTGAATACGATGCTGTTTTAAGAGGTATAAGGGAAAGCGTGCAGAGGATGCTATTTAACATCCTCATTA